GTGGAGTTAGTCATAAATCTACTTTTACAACTTAACAACTCCGGGGCTTCTATTTCTAACACTTATATTTAACCTAAATACAACACTACTACACAACACAAGTTAATACAATTTATACAGTGTGGTTAACAGAACTTAGATACACTTTATAGAATTACACAGTGAAATTAACACAATTTAACTTAATTAAACCAATAACCATACATTTAAGCAATACTTACAAATCCAGCAACGATAACAACACAAAGACACACTAGAACTCGGAGCATGCTCAGGACTCGTGCACCCCTATATTTGACTCGAAGGGTGGGGAGGCAGCCTCAGGGTGATCAATACTTTAGCCGGGCAAAAAAAAGATATGTGCCCTCAATATACGGAACCTCCGTTGAACAAAGGGGTAGAGGGTCTTTTATACAAAAATTTGGTGTCTAATGCCATGCTAGGGTCTGCATTTGGCAGGGCCTGATAGGCTAGTGATGAGGTAGTATGACAATACTGCCCTATAGGAGTTTTCGTGATGTATGCGTGATCCCCTCGTGGACAGGACTAGGTGGGGCATGGTTAGTGTGAGACAGTTGTGTTTTATTACCCTATGTTTTCTTTTTCTCTTGCCTCTAAAACCGGTCAAGCTACGGTCAAATGAGGCTTATCAGCTTATCTGTAAGTGCAGCTAGGCGTTATCTAGTTATGCTCACCTCCCTGTTTTCTGGTGCCTGTGAGTCCCAGGATGCCTGTAAAGTCAAATTCCATTCACAAAAACTGCATTGTGCTTCCCATGCTCCTCTGAGTATCTGGGTTTTGTGTGAGGGGCCTTGTGTGGCAGGGTGGGATATACGCAAAGGCCGTGGACAGAAAAAGCCTGCTTTACAACATGTTGTTGGTCTGGATTTCCAGTTTTAATACACATTACTCTTTGTTATTAATTTTATTTATTTGACTACACAAAATGCTTTAGTGGGACCTAGGTAAGAGTAAATGTTTCCTTTCCGTCACCATGGAAGAGCCAGAAGATAGAACCCAATTCAGTTCTGGTATATGTACTAGGAGAGGAGAAATAAAATGCCAGGATCTCACCTCTGAAGCAGTGTTGGGCAAAATTTCTTCAGCTAGTAGTTTATTAATCAAGAATATGTTTTAGGTTAGCTGAATTCAGTCTAATTTGTCAAATAATTTTGACTAAATAAAAATTGGTGAGTTGGGTGAGTGTAATTCAGAAAAAGTTTGTTTTAACATTTTTTAGATGAAGCATTTTGACTTTTTGTTTTAAAAGCTATTTTGAAATTTAGCTAGATTTAACTGCTCCCTCCCTTCCAAAAGAGAAGGAGACCCCCAAAGACCTTAAAGTAAAATGCATGATTTTATTTGGGGTCAAAGAAAATATTTAATTTCAGCCTAAATAGCTTTTTTCACAAGTTATTCCATTATATGGAAAAAAAAATCATTTGGGGTCAAACCAAAATAATTCTGTTTTTCAGTTTAGCCATCGAATAGAAAACATTAGTTATTTGCCCACTTATAGGCTGACATCTGCAGTTGCAATACTGCTATGCTCTGCTGGTATTCATTCGCTGTACTAGGTTGAAGCACCTGACAGATCCATCAGCCTTACTCTTAGAGAGGTGAAATATAGGAACTTCCAGAGTTTACTGTAGACCTTTTATTGCAGTAGTAGCTACAGATTAACTCCACTGCTGGTTTCTGGGGAGCAGATTACTTATGTTAACTCTGGCAGTGATTTCCTGTACCAAACCCATTGTGTTAGGCTTGATGTAGTTAATAGGATTTGACTTATGTTGTCTAGTTTTAAAACTTGGATTTTAATAATACCTTGCATTTGTCATGGCCTACCTGTTTCCACAATGGGCTTGTGCAGTCCATGGGGATAATGGCACAGTCCACTTTGGCATTGTGCCTCAATGGATCTTTTCTTTTGGGAAGTTTGCATGAGCTGTGGAATCTTCTAAGCTACATCTCCACAGACAGCAGCAGTGAGTCTTAGAGCTGGAGTTAACAGACTAGTGCTCACGCCACAGTGCTAAAAATAGCTGTGTAGATGTTTGGGCTTAGTCTGGAGCGCTTGCTTTACAACATAGAGAGGAAGGTTGCATCAAAGCCCAAGCTCCAGCCAGAGCCACAATGTGCTAAGACTAGTTGTGAAGAGTAGACCATAGTGGGATCCTGAGATGTTTTGACCAGGACTCTGAGACTTGATAGTGTGCGCTGGGCAGATTTACATCTTGTCAGCAATGTCTATTGATTTTAAGAGCTCACACTGGATATGTCTAGACTACATGGCTCTGTCAATGGAGCCATGTAAACTAGTTTACCCGACATAGTCAATGAAGCAGGGATTTAAATAATCCCCGCTTCATTAAAATAAAAATGGCTGCCACGCTGTGCCGACAGTCAGCTGATCCAGCACAGCGCGGCAGTCTAGACGTGGCTCGATTGACAAGGGAAGCCTTTGTTGACTGCTCCTGTAAACCTCGTTTCACGAGGCATAAGGGAGCAGTCGACAAAGGCTTCCCTTGTCGACCGATCCATGTCTAGACTGCCACACTGTGCCGGATCAGCTGATCGTCGGCACAGCGCAGCAGCCATTTTTATTTTAATGAAGGGGGGATTATTTAAATCCCCGCTTCATTGACTGTCGGGTAAACTAGTTTACATGGCTCTGTTGACGGAGCCACGTAGTCTAGACATACCCATTGTGTTGAAGTGCTATGCCTGAGTGAATGGAAAGGACTGTGGCTCAATTCTTTTTGATTTGTTAGATGTGGGGAGAGTCAGTACTCATTTTTTTATTTTGATGTTTGCATCATCCATTGTGTCTTCCATAACACATATTTTATTACTGTATTTACTTATTAGTTGAGATTGTGGGGTGGGCAGGTTTAAAAACAATCTCTCTTCAAATTCTACATCCTATACTGTGAAGGAATTTTAGTCCCATTGGGTTATTCCCTCCCTTTTCCCCCGTCACTTCCTGTTAAAGTATCTTGGTTCTGAAGGAGTTATACTTGGTCTTGATTGGCACCATAGAAACTGTACAAGCTTTTAATGTTTCACATCATGTAAAATCATGATGTCCATCACTGGTCATTATTGTGGTGCAATAGTAGTGAAATGCCCAGTCCAGTAAGGGCCCCACTGTATTTGGTATTGTGTGCATATGAATTAAAAGGACAATTGTTCTCTTGCTGATCTTAGGTGGAATATCTTCTCCCATACCTTCATGCCAGTTATGAGTTCTTGGTCTAATCAGAGTTGTTCTCAGAGGGGTAGCCTTGTTAGCCTGTAACTAAAAAAACTCATAAAACAATGGCCCTGTAGCACCTTAGAGGCTAACCAAAAATATATAGATAGTATCATGAGCTTTCATGGGCCCAATCCACTTCTTCAGAAGACAAATATGAAGCAAGAGGCATAGAGGTTCAAATATAAAGCAGAAAAAGAGGGAGAAAAGATCCTGTCAATTAAAGTGCCTATGCTAAATAAGGCTAATAGAGTGGGCTGTAAGTGCCTGATACTTAGCTTTTGATGTAATTTGGGTGCTGAATATAACAGCCCATCCAGTTCATGTCTTTGCTCAAGCCATGAGAGATAGTGACAGATTTGCATATGAAGGCCAGTTCCTCAGACTCTCTCTAGTTGATTCCTGCAACTATTTTGTAAGAGAATAGCCACCTTTAAATAGTTGTTCGGAGTTGTTTTGTCTGCTACACGCTATGGTGCCTTTGGCTCTTCAGGAGTTTTTAATCATCTGAACCTTATGTTCTTTGCCCTTTTGTATTTTGGAAGCACTCTCGTTCTCATTGCTCTAAACAGACATTGCCATTTCTTCCTGTATTCTGTGGAATCCATCCCAGACCATGGTGATAAAAAGTTTCCCATCAAGAAAATCCTGATGTCTTTGGGCTATCTGTCCTTTTAGAAAGCTTTTCATGGCGGACAGTGTGCATCTGGCACTGAATTATCTTGGAGACGGGACAGTTGATTGATGATCTACTATGACATCTCAAATGTCTGTGTCAGTCACATTTTAGCTACTTTAATACAAAGTATGTCACTCATGTATTTGTATTCACTGAAACAAAGTGCCTGAAAGTCTTCAGGACAAAATTTAAAAAAGCATAGATTTTTTTTTTCGGTTAGTGAGTTCTGCTTCCCTAAATAAAGTATTACAAAATCTTAGGGTTAGTTTAATGAAAATGAACAAACTACATTTATATGTGTGTGTGCACCATTGCTGTTAAAGTTTTAATTTTTGGTTACTAGCAGGTTGCAAATATTGATTTAGATAATATACTTGATGGCTATTGCCTCTTCTTTGCATTCTTTGGACATATAAATTTAAGGAATAAGTGTGCAAACAACAGAGCCACTAATGCTTCACGGAGAAAACAAATACATTTTGATGTTGCTTTATTAAGCATTATAAAGCTGATGCTATGATAGCTCATTGGTTTGAGCATTGGCCTGCTAAACCCAGGGTTGTGAGTTTAATCCTTCTGGAGGCCATTTGGGGCAAAAACTTGTCAGGGATGGTACTTGATTCTGCTGTGAAGGCAGAGCACTGGACTTGATGACCTTCCAGCTTTAGGAAATAGGCAATCTCTGTTAATTTAAAAGAAACAATATTTTATGTCTTCACAATGGCTATTGATATACACCAACTTTCTAAATTGTGGTCTCACACCAGTGCGATGCTACTGACCACACCACTGTATATGAGAGCATAAATTGGCTGCATATCTTATTTTTAATGTTCATTATTGCTATCATAATAGCTGTGTTTACTTTATTGTTCACCATAAAATAGCTAAATATAAGGCACCCTTAAAAATTAGATGTCCATAAAGAAATCTGGACTGTGAAATATTTGGGAAAGTTAACAGAAGATTAACCATATTAATAGAAAATACTGAAAGAGAATTTTTCATATATTGAAATCTATGCTTCTCTCCTCCCCTTCTTCTCTCCCCTCCCCACCGCCAAAGGTTCTCACTTCAGGTTGCTGCAACAGCAGAGAATTGCCTTCTTACCATATATCCATACTTGATGCTTCACCGCACAGACCAGCAAATTATCTTGACAAGTGGTAAGGGTAGTGAATGTTTCCTCACTTAATCTTTTTAATAATGTTATTTCATTGTAGTTATGTTAACTACAGAAATCTATCATTTTTATCCTGATAGCTACTTATTTAATTAAGAAAGCATTTTTGCTTGGTAAGCATTTTTAATAGTATGTTTGGACTCATACAGATTTAGGCTTGTTCTTATTGAAAGTAGGTAGGCAAAATAAGTTGGATATTTATAAAAAATATCACAAGTCTAAAATGTATAGAATAATTTTGCTAATATTGGAGTAAGAGTAGAAAAGATAACATAACTATATAGAGGAAAATAAAATAATTTCACTATAGGCAATTTCTGTGCCACCTGTAATTGGACAATTTATGTAAAAACAGCAGAGAAGAGAGCAACATAATTGAATGGTATTCCAGAATAATTATATAATGGTTGGAAATCATGTTCAGCATTTTTGATGATCCTAGAAAAGATATCAGGATTGGATTTTTTAAAATGTTTTGTTCAATTGTATTTGAAATATTAAAAAACCTGAACACATCAGATTTGATTAATGTGGGATTAACTATAGTGAGTAAAACTTTACATGGATGAACCCTTCTGACTGAAAGGGGATGTCCATGCTTTAGAATCTGGATAGAAGAACTGAAATTGTCTTTGTAGAAAGATCAAGGTAAGGCAGATAACTGGAATGTGTACAATGGTGAAATTATATTCAGAACCTCCTGCAAACAATTCAGCAACAGGTTTATGTTTGCAATGTAGTATAAATGAAGCTAAATTAAATTCTACGTTGACAGTGTGGCTCTGTTTTTCAGTCTATTATGTAGGTCCAATCCTGTGAGTAATAATGGGCAGGCAGAGTACTCTATCTGTAAGAACCCAATTTGATAGCAGTGGGACTGTCTGTGCATATACACAGATGTGGCCACATATTGTAATTTGTAGGACTGGGACCTTACATTTCTCAGAATGACAAGAGCAGGTTGCTAATTCTAGGAAAAAGAAAGCATAACATGACAGGTGTCTATGAATTGGGACAATAACACTATTCATTAGCATCTCAAGTTTATCATATCTCTGTGGAAGTTTGAAGCTGAAACAAATAGAACTGAATAAAACCTCAGAAAATGACCCCAAGAAGGAGGATCCACAATTGCCGCGAGACTCAAATAATGTTTAGAATTTATTTAGGTGCTTCTGAATCCTTTAAGATCCCGGAATGAGTAGCTGCCTGATGTGATGCCCCCACTTGTGGGGTGCAACCTGGAATTGGGGTACCACAGAGCTCTCTGTTTCATTAGCCTGGGCTCTATGTCTCATTGTGCTGCTTGTAACAAGCTGCAGACGTGCTCTTGGTCCTGCACTCACCCAAACCTTTACTCAGGAAGGGACACATCCAGCGTAGAACTCCAGACCTGTACAATCTTCCCCTGATCAAAGCCTGATCAGTAAGTGTATTTCCTGGTCTGTTCCTCCCTCAATGTCTTTTGCTGTGAAACAAGTCTCCCTTGCATATGTGGTATCTCTGAGAGGATTCCATTGGGGTAATCCTCGGCTACGTCTACACTAGCATGATTTTCCGGAAATGCTTTTAACAGAAAAGTTTTCCGTTAAAAGCATTTTCGGTAAAGCGCGTCTAGACTGGCAGGACACTTTTCCACAAAAGCACTTTTTGCGGAAAATCGTCCATGGCCAATCTAGACTACACGGAACGGTCAAAAGAGGATATGCACATTCCGTGGGAATTTGTATATCTTCTTCCGATTATACTTTCGAAAGCGGATATTTTGAAAGTAAAAGTAGTTTCGACGCGGCTTTTTTGGCGAACCCCCTCCTTTATCAAAAAGCAGCTTTTCTTCAAAAAATGAGGTTTACATGGCTTTTAGACAAAGGGGTGGGGTTTGCTGAAAAAGCCACTTCTAATCTACTTTCACTTTCGAGAGCAGAACAATTGGAAGAAGATATGCAAATTCCTCTTTCGACCATTCCACATAGTCTAGATGAGCCCCTGGTGTTGCTGAATTCATCTCAGTACAGCTGAGGGTTTTGGAAAGGCTGCTTTAGTATTTGTTTTGTGAAATGTGTGAGATTGGTAATACTTTGAAAAGGCTGACTATGAAATTGTAAGACTCAGTGAATGAGGAGCTGAGGTAAGATGGATCTTAAAAGGATATTTGGTTCTTCGCTTAGGCTACGTCTACAGTGCAAGTCTTCCACAAGTCTTCCACATGAGAAGGGGGGCAGGAGGCAGGGGGATGTCTGAACTGGGAGGGGGGATCAGGACTGGGCGGAGTAGTGGGGTGGCCTGTGCTGCCAACTCGGGTGCAGGCATATCTTCGGGGTTGGATGAGTCTGGGGACCAGAGAGGGTTGGGCAGGAGGGGCATGTAGAGCTGGGTCAGCGTTGGTGGGGGGACACGAGGAGGAACCATAGGCATCACTTGGGGAGGGGGCATGGGGATTGGGAAGGGAGTGAGCAGAGGCATGGCATGGGGAGGGATGAGAGGCATAGCAGGATGGGCGGATGGATGGGCAAGGGCCATGGGGAAGCAGAGGGTGGAAGGCAGGAGCAGCAGCATCGGGCGCGTGTTCCCCTGTGTGGGACAGGATGTTACAGATGTTGTCGCAACACGACATCATCTCAGTCCACACACGCTCCCGCCATTCTAGGTCCACTATGAGCCTGCATGACAGGGTGTCATGAATCTTGCACATGACGCTTACATGTTGCTGCATGAGGTCTTCTGCCACTTTGGCCTGTCTGCGGCTCCCCCGGACTCTGGGAAGTTGCTGCAGCGGTGGTGTGGCTGGGCCCTCGGCAAGACATGTATGGCCACACATGAGGCTGTCAGCAGGCTCCTGGATATGTTGAAGGGCTGGCTGCTGTGGCTGTGTGCCACACCCTCCCACTGCATGTAGTAGCATGTACCCAGACTGCAGCAGCATGTGCTGGCCAAGCGGCCCACGCGATACTGTGCCCCACGCCCCCTGTGCATCCACCTCCCCCGCCCTGTGTGCGTGTATGTGTGTGTGTGTGTGTGTGTGTGGGCAAGAGGCATAGAGGTTCAAATATAAAGCAGAAAAAGAGGGAGAAAAGATCCTGTCAATTAAAGTGCCTATGCTAAATAAGGCTAATAGAGTGGGCTGTAAGTGCCTGATACTTAGCTTTTGATGTAATTTGGGTGCTGAATATAACAGCCCATCCAGTTCATGTCTTTGCTCAAGCCATGAGAGATAGTGACAGATTTGCATATGAAGGCCAGTTCCTCAGACTCTCTCTAGTTGATTCCTGCAACTATTTTGTAAGAGAATAGCCACCTTTAAATAGTTGTTCGGAGTTGTTTTGTCTGCTACACGCTATGGTGCCTTTGGCTCTTCAGGAGTTTTTAATCATCTGAACCTTATGTTCTTTGCCCTTTTGTATTTTGGAAGCACTCTCGTTCTCATTGCTCTAAACAGACATTGCCATTTCTTCCTGTATTCTGTGGAATCCATCCCAGACCATGGTGATAAAAAGTTTCCCATCAAGAAAATCCTGATGTCTTTGGGCTATCTGTCCTTTTAGAAAGCTTTTCATGGCGGACAGTGTGCATCTGGCACTGAATTATCTTGGAGACGGGACAGTTGATTGATGATCTACTATGACATCTCAAATGTCTGTGTCAGTCACATTTTAGCTACTTTAATACAAAGTATGTCACTCATGTATTTGTATTCACTGAAACAAAGTGCCTGAAAGTCTTCAGGACAAAATTTAAAAAAGCATAGATTTTTTTTTTCGGTTAGTGAGTTCTGCTTCCCTAAATAAAGTATTACAAAATCTTAGGGTTAGTTTAATGAAAATGAACAAACTACATTTATATGTGTGTGTGCACCATTGCTGTTAAAGTTTTAATTTTTGGTTACTAGCAGGTTGCAAATATTGATTTAGATAATATACTTGATGGCTATTGCCTCTTCTTTGCATTCTTTGGACATATAAATTTAAGGAATAAGTGTGCAAACAACAGAGCCACTAATGCTTCACGGAGAAAACAAATACATTTTGATGTTGCTTTATTAAGCATTATAAAGCTGATGCTATGATAGCTCATTGGTTTGAGCATTGGCCTGCTAAACCCAGGGTTGTGAGTTTAATCCTTCTGGAGGCCATTTGGGGCAAAAACTTGTCAGGGATAGTACTTGATTCTGCTGTGAAGGCAGAGCACTGGACTTGATGACCTTCCAGCTTTAGGAAATAGGCAATCTCTGTTAATTTAAAAGAAACAATATTTTATGTCTTCACAATGGCTATTGATATACACCAACTTTCTAAATTGTGGTCTCACACCAGTGCGATGCTACTGACCACACCACTGTATATGAGAGCATAAATTGGCTGCATATCTTATTTTTAATGTTCATTATTGCTATCATAATAGCTGTGTTTACTTTATTGTTCACCATAAAATAGCTAAATATAAGGCACCCTTAAAAATTAGATGTCCATAAAGAAATCTGGACTGTGAAATATTTGGGAAAGTTAACAGAAGATTAACCATATTAATAGAAAATACTGAAAGAGAATTTTTCATATATTGAAATCTATGCTTCTCTCCTCCCCTTCTTCTCTCCCCTCCCCACCGCCAAAGGTTCTCACTTCAGGTTGCTGCAACAGCAGAGAATTGCCTTCTTACCATATATCCATACTTGATGCTTCACCGCACAGACCAGCAAATTATCTTGACAAGTGGTAAGGGTAGTGAATGTTTCCTCACTTAATCTTTTTAATAATGTTATTTCATTGTAGTTATGTTAACTACAGAAATCTATCATTTTTATCCTGATAGCTACTTATTTAATTAAGAAAGCATTTTTGCTTGGTAAGCATTTTTAATAGTATGTTTGGACTCATACAGATTTAGGCTTGTTCTTATTGAAAGTAGGTAGGCAAAATAAGTTGGATATTTATAAAAAATATCACAAGTCTAAAATGTATAGAATAATTTTGCTAATATTGGAGTAAGAGTAGAAAAGATAACATAACTATATAGAGGAAAATAAAATAATTTCACTATAGGCAATTTCTGTGCCACCTGTAATTGGACAATTTATGTAAAAACAGCAGAGAAGAGAGCAACATAATTGAATGGTATTCCAGAATAATTATATAATGGTTGGAAATCATGTTCAGCATTTTTGATGATCCTAGAAAAGATATCAGGATTGGATTTTTTAAAATGTTTTGTTCAATTGTATTTGAAATATTAAAAAACCTGAACACATCAGATTTGATTAATGTGGGATTAACTATAGTGAGTAAAACTTTACATGGATGAACCCTTCTGACTGAAAGGGGATGTCCATGCTTTAGAATCTGGATAGAAGAACTGAAATTGTCTTTGTAGAAAGATCAAGGTAAGGCAGATAACTGGAATGTGTACAATGGTGAAATTATATTCAGAACCTCCTGCAAACAATTCAGCAACAGGTTTATGTTTGCAATGTAGTATAAATGAAGCTAAATTAAATTCTACGTTGACAGTGTGGCTCTGTTTTTCAGTCTATTATGTAGGTCCAATCCTGTGAGTAATAATGGGCAGGCAGAGTACTCTATCTGTAAGAACCCAATTTGATAGCAGTGGGACTGTCTGTGCATATACACAGATGTGGCCACATATTGTAATTTGTAGGACTGGGACCTTACATTTCTCAGAATGACAAGAGCAGGTTGCTAATTCTAGGAAAAAGAAAGCATAACATGACAGGTGTCTATGAATTGGGACAATAACACTATTCATTAGCATCTCAAGTTTATCATATCTCTGTGGAAGTTTGAAGCTGAAACAAATAGAACTGAATAAAACCTCAGAAAATGACCCCAAGAAGGAGGATCCACAATTGCCGCGAGACTCAAATAATGTTTAGAATTTATTTAGGTGCTTCTGAATCCTTTAAGATCCCGGAATGAGTAGCTGCCTGATGTGATGCCCCCACTTGTGGGGTGCAACCTGGAATTGGGGTACCACAGAGCTCTCTGTTTCATTAGCCTGGGCTCTATGTCTCATTGTGCTGCTTGTAACAAGCTGCAGACGTGCTCTTGGTCCTGCACTCACCCAAACCTTTACTCAGGAAGGGACACATCCAGCGTAGAACTCCAGACCTGTACAATCTTCCCCTGATCAAAGCCTGATCAGTAAGTGTATTTCCTGGTCTGTTCCTCCCTCAATGTCTTTTGCTGTGAAACAAGTCTCCCTTGCATATGTGGTATCTCTGAGAGGATTCCATTGGGGTAATCCTCGGCTACGTCTACACTAGCATGATTTTCCGGAAATGCTTTTAACAGAAAAGTTTTCCGTTAAAAGCATTTTCGGTAAAGCGCGTCTAGACTGGCAGGACACTTTTCCACAAAAGCACTTTTTGCGGAAAATCGTCCATGGCCAATCTAGACTACACGGAACGGTCAAAAGAGGATATGCACATTCCGTGGGAATTTGTATATCTTCTTCCGATTATACTTTCGAAAGCGGATATTTTGAAAGTAAAAGTAGTTTCGACGCGGCTTTTTTGGCGAACCCCCTCCTTTATCAAAAAGCAGCTTTTCTTCAAAAAATGAGGTTTACATGGCTTTTAGACAAAGGGGTGGGGTTTGCTGAAAAAGCCACTTCTAATCTACTTTCACTTTCGAGAGCAGAACAATTGGAAGAAGATATGCAAATTCCTCTTTCGACCATTCCACATAGTCTAGATGAGCCCCTGGTGTTGCTGAATTCATCTCAGTACAGCTGAGGGTTTTGGAAAGGCTGCTTTAGTATTTGTTTTGTGAAATGTGTGAGATTGGTAATACTTTGAAAAGGCTGACTATGAAATTGTAAGACTCAGTGAATGAGGAGCTGAGGTAAGATGGATCTTAAAAGGATATTTGGTTCTTCGCTTAGGCTACGTCTACAGTGCAAGTCTTCCACAAGTCTTCCACATGAGAAGGGGGGCAGGAGGCAGGGGGATGTCTGAACTGGGAGGGGGGATCAGGACTGGGCGGAGTAGTGGGGTGGCCTGTGCTGCCAACTCGGGTGCAGGCATATCTTCGGGGTTGGATGAGTCTGGGGACCAGAGAGGGTTGGGCAGGAGGGGCATGTAGAGCTGGGTCAGCGTTGGTGGGGGGACACGAGGAGGAACCATAGGCATCACTTGGGGAGGGGGCATGGGGATTGGGAAGGGAGTGAGCAGAGGCATGGCATGGGGAGGGATGAGAGGCATAGCAGGATGGGCGGATGGATGGGCAAGGGCCATGGGGAAGCAGAGGGTGGAAGGCAGGAGCAGCAGCATCGGGCGCGTGTTCCCCTGTGTGGGACAGGATGTTACAGATGTTGTCGCAACACGACATCATCTCAGTCCACACACGCTCCCGCCATTCTAGGTCCACTATGAGCCTGCATGACAGGGTGTCATGAATCTTGCACATGACGCTTACATGTTGCTGCATGAGGTCTTCTGCCACTTTGGCCTGTCTGCGGCTCCCCCGGACTCTGGGAAGTTGCTGCAGCGGTGGTGTGGCTGGGCCCTCTGTCCCAGCTGGTCCAGCTGTGGAGAACACAGAAAAGGGAGAGGTCGTCAGTCCACCTTGCGCACACATTCCTTGAGGCTGTGCTCTCCTGTGTGAGCAGCAACCACACCAGTCCATGGCCTGCAGGAAGGGGATGTCCCGGGTGCAAGGCCATGTGTGGCCTGTACAGCATGCCCTGTATCACACAGGCCCCGAAGGGGCCAGAGGACTATGCTGTCCTCTTCCTGGTCCCCCCAACCCCCGACACACACACCATGGCTAGGCAGGCAAGGGAAGTGTGTGGCCACAGGGGGAT